CGGGGGAAATGGGAGGCAGGTAAGCGACCCGCCGCTCCTTTAGGTCTCGGCCACGTAGGAAAGAAAAGCAGTAGGCGGTCCGTTCCTGCCCTCTCCTTGAGCTGCATAAGTTATGGCTGAATTCGATGGGTGGGGGAAAAGGTGTGAATGAACCAGCATTCTGCGGTCTCTCCAAAAGGTGCCTTTATTACTGAGTGCTGTGGGGTGATCATTTCAGATTTCCTGAGGTCGGGGCAACACTGTGCAACCCAAACAAGCCTCTCTTGGATCTGGAGATACTGCCCGGGGATCGGCTCCAAGGGGTCCAAATACACCCAAGTCTGTACTGAGAAGAGAAATCGCACTGAAGGATACAGGTTGGTCTCGGCCTTTCCTTTTCCTTTGTCATTGTCTCACGTTAAGGTGCAGGAAGTCAGTTTGAAAGTTGATTGCCCCAGCAACTAAAATGACCAAGAATTATGTCTTGACAGCTAAGATATTTGATGCCTAGTGTTACTTTGTTCTATTTATTCTAAAATTTGTGAACAAAAGAGATTTTTGTACAGTCTATTTTGTGTTGGCTTAAGTGAAGTTGTCTTTTCTCTCCAAATGAAGGGTTCCCCCCAAAAAAAATGTTAAGCATGTTACAAGCTAGCCTGATTTGACCCCACTGCTTGGAACATTAGAATATCTACTTGACTCTAATTCTTCATGGAGAGGTTGTGAAATTCCTAATTGCAAGTCCAGTTGTAGCCTAGAGATGTCTTATTCATTGGCCTCTTCAAGACCGTGGAATTACGGCATTTTTCCTAGTAGCTGCTTTTCCCCTTCATTTTACCTGTCCATATGTTGGTTCTGCCCTTCCTTTTATTGAGGTCTTTGAGTTGAGGTCCTGTTTCTTTTTCAGTCCTGTTTACATGCCCAAGATACTTCATTGTTTTATCGACTTACCTACCTGGCTGCACGCCTTGCCCCATTTTTTATTTTAGGTGTCTTTCCATTCCTTTCCGTAATGACTGACCCTCAGCCCCAACTGTGACAGCAAATCTTTCTTGGAATCCTCTGTCAGCTGTATTTCCTATTATAAAGTCTCTATTTTCTCCTGCCCTGTCGTTTGCCACTCGTCTTTCCTATGCTGCCCTCAGTCTTTCTACTTTCCTTCTTTTCCACTCTCCTTCTTTTGCCTCCCTTGGCAAAAAGGACAAGGACTCATGACACACTTCTGATTGTGTCATGAGTCCTTGTCCTTTTTGCCAAGGGAGGGTATTGAAAGTATGTTGGCCCCATAGTTGTCAACATGTTTTAGCGTAAACCAATCTTAGTGACTGCCACAGAGGCCACATTAGCTGAGATTTATTTTAAGTGCCCAACCGTAGCCTGGTACTTTTCCATGAATGAATTAGAATCCTTGGCTTTAAATTATCTAGGTCAGAAATAAGTACTGGGAAACATTTCTGTCTATCTTTGTCATTTTCCAGAATCTAAACCCGATACTGGGTTGAGAGGGGAATAATGGTTTCCACTGAGGTGGAACATTAGCTTCAAGCTTCTTGGATAGTTATTAAAATGAAGATTTTGTATTAAACTTCAGCTTCCTTTTGTGTTTATTTCCTGGTGTTGAGTCATTGTGGGGCCCAGAAGTGTGTCCACACCTAGGGCAGGAGGGTGTCTAGAGGGAAAACTTAGGTAGATGATTTAGAGTAGCAAGTAGAAAGAACTCCCCCTTTGGTACTTTTAAAAACTTCTGTTTGAAGACAGTGGTGTTGTGGCAAGAGGGAGTGATGATATAGACTGAGGTACATAAAAGGACTAGAGAGACAGGAAGGTGTCATTGAGGGCATGGTTATTGAAATCAGATTATCTTTAGTTGAGGGTGGAATTAGTAGGTCTGGAGGAGCTGAAAGCAGAGGCAGTCTACTTGCTTTAGATTTCTGGGTGGCCAGGTGGTTTAGCATCCAGACCTTCTCTCCTCCTTTTTCTCTCTCTTGGTTAAAGAGATGGTTAATTAGAATGCTTTTTACCTTATCTTAAGGAGCATATTTATGCCTCCCTCATGTACAGTTCATTATTTCCAAACATATTTATGGAGGGTCCATGTTGCCCTGGTACTACTGGAAATGGGTATAAAGAAGAAAGCATGCTCACTATTTATTTGGAGCAACAAACAAGAGAAATGACCTGAACCTGTGTGTTAAATGATTTAACGAAGACATGCACTAAATGCTGGAGTTGAGGAGTGATCCATAAAGGAAGAAGGCAGGCTCAGCTTGGGGGATAAGGACATTTTCCAGTAAGAGGTAACTCTGAATCGAAGAGGTGAGGAAGAGACAGAAGGCACATTGGTGCAAAAACACAAAGATCTGCCTCAGCATAGTGTATCTGGGGAACTAACTGCAAATAGATCTGCTTGGCTTTAAGGAAGAAGATGTGTGCGATGTGCTGGAAAGGAGATTGCATATTAGGAGGGAGTTAGAAGATGAAATGGGGGAAGCAGGGAGGGGAGCTTTTGAAGAATTTTTGGGAGGGTAGTAACCTGACCAGAATTGTACTTTAGAAAGATCTTCCTGGAGGTAAAGTGCTGTTTTGGAGTCATGACCTACATTAACGAGTAAAAAAGCACGTTGCGAAACAGTAGTGTATTTAACTAGATCTAAGACACCATTGATTGTATGACACATTTTGGTTTCAGAGATATTAAAATGTGAAAAAGAGTGCCTCTTAAAGTACAAGAAATACAGAATGTTTAATAAGATCCTATTTGGGGGAGAAAAAGAGCATTTGTGTATTTGGGAGTAAGATTTGAGGATTGTATCGGGGTGACTTTAACTTTTTTAACAGCCTTATAAACTATTTGGCTATTTTGCATTGAGAACATAACATATTACTTTTTAGTTTGAAAAAGACACTTTAAAAAGGCATAAATGAATTACAGTGACAAAGAAAAAAACAATATCAAATCTTTAGGCTGGAGGAGGGAGATGAAGCTGCCAGCAGGGAGAACAGTCTAGAAATTACTGAGATGATCCAGAAAAAGGATGCAAAAGGTCTGAGTTCAGCAGTGTCAGAAAAAGGAAGAACAGATGGATCAAAGAGATAGTGGGTGAATTTAACAGGATTTAGAGTCAGGGGAGTCTGGGGGTGAGGAATAAGCCTGGCTTCTCTCACACATCTAGCCTGAGCTGCTGGATGAATTGATTGTTATCATCTACATGGATAGAAAATATAAAAGAAAGAGTCAGTTTTGGAAATGGGAAAGATGATAAATTCAGTTTGGGGCATATTAAGTTCGAGGTGCCTATAGGCCATGAAAACAGGAATGTCTAGAAAGCAATATAGGTTTGAGGCTCCAAGAATGTCTGACATTAACATATATAAATGGTCATTTAAGCCACAGCCACAGGTAATATAAAATTGCTTAGAAATAGATATATAGGCAGCAGGAAGGGAAGTGGGTAGAGGGTGAATCCACATTTACAGAAGAGGAAAAGAAACCTGTTAGGGAGACTTAGAAGGAGCAGCTGGGCGGAGAGGAACATCACTGAGTGAGGTGTCACAGAAGCACAGAGGCAGAAGGAGGGGACAGCTCTCTCGAGATGACACCAAGTTAGATAAGAAGTGAAATATGACCACAGCCTGTTAGGTCTCTAGGGCCTGGTCTGAAGCAGTTTCAGAAGCATGTGGTGGGGACAGAAGTCGGGTTACGGAAGGGTGAGAGAAATGAGTTGGGTGAAAATGGGGTGAAAATGACTTGACTATGAAAGGAAGGAGAAAAGAGAATTCTAGATAAGGAGAATATCAGATCATGTAAACTAAGATTTTTTTTGCGGGGGGAGGGAGGTAGCGGTAGTAGTTAGAAGAGATATGATCATGTCTATGTGCTGAGGGGAAAAAGCCAGGAAAAGATAAGTTGAAGACCTAGAGGAGAAAGTAAATAATTGATGAAATGGCCTGGGGGTGGGGCTGGAGTCCAGAGTTCAGGTGGAGCAATTCCCATGGACAGAACGGGGGACAGTCACTTTTTTCATGGAGAATATAAAGAAGAGAAATGGCTATTGCATTAAGAGATCAGGAGAAAAGGTTTGAGGAAGTCCTGGAGGGGTGGGAAAGCAGGTACAGTGGGAGTAAGGGGGATATGGAGCTATAAGGGTAGGATATTGTGAGCAGAACATCAGCTATTCTTAAGTCTTGAGGCTTAAGGTTTCCAAAGTAGAATAGTTTGGAGGTGATGACAAGATTCAGAGTCTGACCATGTGGATGATGCATAATGGAAGTGAGAGCCATTGGAGGTGATAACATCACGGAACTGTGAGAGAGGAATTGAATGAAACTTACAGAGGGATACTGAAGTCATCTAGGATGGAGAAGGCATCAGGAATCATCTGTGTAAATCCTTAGCATTATGGCATGAGTCACACAGGTGGCATTTTGCCAGGAGTACTCTCTTTGCTCCTCATCAGCAGACACACTTAGAAGACAGTGTAATATAGTAACTTACA